TGCCCATACACTGTGCAATTGTCATACGAGAATCACGGGAAATCCCGCGATCGTACGGTAATCGCAAAGTGTATGGAAGGCGTGCGACCGTTACTACTGTACGGTCGCACGTCTTCCGTCGAACAAGCAGGCGGGAAAACCCGCAGAGAATTGTACGATTCTCGGCGGGTTAGTGGCCTGCTTGTTTGACAACTGCCGAACGGGCCAGTGTGCGCACGCGCACACTGACCTTCAGCATTGCAGTCATTGCTGATCGCAAGTACGATCTGCCTGTCCAAGATGGGCAGATCGTACGTTTTTTTTAAATTACTTTAGAACCCTCGCAAGATAAAAGTCTTGCGAGGGTTGTAAAGTGTATGGCCACCTTTACAGTGAAGTTCAAGCCCCCCAAGCTGACCCTTTTTCCTGCTTGATGCGCTTTAAGGTAAGTCTCTCAAATCCCTGGTCAGGCTTCCAACCCTATTGCTTATCAGTAGCTATCTCCCACTGAAACATTCTGTCTGCTGTCCCTATCCACATACAAAGAAAAAGCTGCTGGAAGCCCTGAATTCTATAGGGAGGGGACTGGCACATTAGAAAATCCCCATTATTGTCCATTCTAAGCTATCTGGTGCATCATTTCTCCGAACTGCAAATTGCTAGAGTTTGAGTGGAACTCATGGTTAACCGGAACCCGAAGCTCATCCCTACTTAGCAGTAGCAACTGTCACATTTTCTTTTCTTAGCAGGTTTCATTTAAGGAAGTTAGATTTAATTAAAAAGAAAAGCTATTTGTACTAACTCATGGCAACCAATAGTGGGCTTTTGGTCTGTGCACATCATCTCTGGTTTGCATTCATAGTTTCATTTTTCCTTGAGTTGAGCATTTCGTAAGATTTGACTGTAAATGTAACCACATCAGAATCTGCTGAAAAGGGCATGTAATTCAAGGCTATTTGTTGTAGGATTCGAACAATACTAGAAAAGTAAATGACACAAACGCAAGCCAAAGAAACTGTGTAGAAAATAAAATGTGATACACTCTTGAGGCAGCTCCCGCTGGTTAGGGCAACCAACCTCGAACAATACTAGTTTAAATGTAGAACCTTGCATTATTATAACACTGGTACAGGTGAAACTCGAATAATTAGAATATCGTGCAAAAGTAATTGCAGTAAGTGCTGCAAAAGGGGCCCAAACCAAGTACTGAGTACATATGCATGCTTGTACTTTTCAGAGGTCCGATATTGTTCTATGTACAATCCTTGTTTTATTGATTGCATGTAATAATCTACTTTTTTGAGGTTGTGGATTTGGGGTTCTTGGGGTTTTCATGAGCTGTAAGCCATAATCATCACAATTATGACAAATCATGGCTTGAATTATCTTGCTTTGCATGTAATGAGTCTCTCTCATATATTAGTTTCACCTTTTAAGTTGCATTAGTGAAATAAATGAACTTTGCACGATATTCTAATTATTCGAGTTTCACCTGTATATAAAAGTTTAGTTTTAATCATCACCTCAACCTTGTTTTTTTTTCTGGTGTCTTTTGGACTCTGTATTCCACAAAGCACAAGTAAAGCATTGATATTTTACATAACATCTGTTACCTTTTCTTCAGTCATCATAAGCCACTGTCTGGTCTTTATAGTAATTCAAGAATCACTGCGCTAGGTGTGAAGTTTGTACACAGAAACACCTAATCAATACACCGGCTGGTGATTGAAAACCCTTTTCCCACACCTGATTGTTTTATTGGACAATTATTACCAAGGTAGTGACTACCGAGATTTATAATTTTTTCACAGTAGAATCTGAACTTAGTAACTTCTTCTCGTCCTACAGAGCACACACTGTCTGGTCTTTGTTACAGGTAAAGTGCTAGTTGAAAGCATTCAGTGAATCATTGCCAGCAAAAGTGATGCAGATTTGTTTAAAAATTAATTTTGTGCATATAGCAGTTGCCCACTAAGGCAGCAGATGAAACATTTTGGATATGCACTCAACACTTTCAGTGCAATATATTCGTACTCAACATGTTCTTTATGAGGTCCAGGTCAACCGTATACACCAAATCTGCAATAAGTGTATAGCTCCCAACTGTTCCTCATTTGCAATCAAATCCCTCAGTCCCGCATTCTTCCACAAATGTCCCCCTGTTTACACTGGTGTAGAAATCTATACAAATTAATAAAATGTGAAAAGTAGTGGTAAAAAAGAGCTCTAGTGATTATTCTTGTGCTTTAATTTGTCATGGTACCTGTGATTAGAGGGTGTGACAAGGTTGTCTCCATTAACTTCATATTCTGTGCTAAAATGTGTACTTATTTCCCAACTCTGAAGAATTGGATGTATACAAGTAGTGATGGAAAGGCATGGATGCTACTAATACCAGTGTGGGAACATCCATACAAATCAAGCAGCTGCCATGCAGTCCATGGTTTAAGGCAGTTCCATTTTTGCAAAACTTTCGATTTCAGACTTATCTCTGGTTTTAGATAACACAGACAGGCCAGATCTGTGTTTTTGCTAATAAGTGGGTATGTTTTTAAAAAAAAACATAGATTATGCAAATGGATAACAATAAATATGAATAGAAAATAGACAACCAGATACATTTTTTTAAATACATCTTCAGTTATATTTGCTTAGCAATTTCTAGTGATATTTTAGTAAATAGTAGTACTGAGACATATAATTATTAAATGTCCTTGACAGTGTGTCCTTAGAAATGTTCCACTTCACTTATTTATTACATGTCTACAAATCTGCATCCTCAGCTGCTGCCCAGGAAAAGGAAGCGCATATATTGTCAACCTTCTCAAACCTGCTTTTTAAGTTATTGGTGTATCTTTTTAGTTTTTTTCTGTAATATTTTCTTTCATGGTTATCCGTATCTTTACCCTTCCTATCTGTTCTTATTTCCTGGGTCATAAACTCAAAACTGGTTTGAATGGAGTTTTGTGGAATAAGTCTGTTGCAGTGGGTGATCATGCATAGAGCCTGTGTAAAACATGGACAGTTTCTTGCTGGAAATGATAGCCTCAAAGCTTAATTTATTTCCACCACAACTCTGAATTGATTTCTTTAAAGGACCAGTGAAATAGTGAGCAAACGAGTATAATGTTTTGATTGAAGCCTTCACTGCTGGAACAGTTGCCTTTCTAAAAAAATGTGTATTCTCAAGATGACAGCTATACTGTATACTTAATAACTGAGACAGTAACAAAAGCACAGTTATTTAGTAAAGCAGGGTCATGGGTTTACTGGAAAAGGAAGTGGAGAAAATCTTTCCACAGACAGCAGTACACTTTTTGGCAAAGGTTCTGACTGTTTCACCCTTAAAAACCCCAAAAAATCTTAACTGGAGTTGAGCTGTATGCTACTAACAGGCATGACTTAGCCAGCCTTTTCTTGTCTGTGGGTCCCTGCAGACACCACCAGTCAACAGCACTTGGGGAAAAAATGGCTGGACAGGTTAGGAGATTGGTAGTTGTTGCTTTCACAATGTTACTACCTCTCCAACATGGGCAAAGACAGCAAAAAAGCTTTTAAAGTAGAGAAGAGTAAGGACCTCTGTCTTTGTACATCCATGCTAGTGAGATATGCTCACTTCCTGTTTGGTCACTAGGACAGGATGTGAGTTGAAATATCCCCCAAAAGAACAAAGATGACAATATAAACCTGACATAGGTTGTAACATTTATTTATTATTATTTATTACAGGTGTTTATATAGCGCTGACAATTTACACAGCAATTTACATCACATTCACATCAGTCCCTGCTCTCAAGGAGCTTACAATCTAAGGTCCATATCCCACATGCATACATACAGGGACAATTTAGACAGAAGCCAATTAACCTTCCAGCATGTCTCTGCAATGTGGGAGGAAACCAGAGTACCCAGAGTAAACCCATGCAAGCACAGGGAGAGCATGCAAACTCCTTAATCACTTAAACAAAAAAAATGATTTTTACTGGAGTTGGGCTTATGTTTCACAGCTGTCTTCCTGAGGGAACTTGTATTGTGATTGTATGTCCAATTGTCCCCTAAGATCTATAAGTTCCTTTCATACGATATTGCCAGAAAGAAGCATTTCATTAAAGTGATATAAACCCTCAGATTTTTTAACATAAAACAATACTGTAATGTGTGCCTTACTGTAATCCATGGTTGTTTCCCTTCTCTTTGCTGCTCTTCCTTTTAAATCTGTATCTGTTCTCATGCTCTGCAGAACATCTGTTTTGCAGCAGACTGCCTTGTCTCTGGAATGGATACATGGTGTCAGTGTGTATGTTGTAACCTGAGCCAGCACTACAGGAAGAGGCACTGAGCTGCAAAGGGAATTTCTGCCCAGCATGAGAAGACATGAGGATTTAAGAGCAGCAAAGAGAAGGGAACCAACCATGGATTACAGTAAGGCACACATTACAGTATTGTTTTATGTAAAAAAAATCTGAGGGTTTAATGTCACTTTAGGCTTCCTTTCTTCAGTGATCACTTTGTCCAGTGCCTAAAAGGACTTTTTTTTTTCTTTGTAAAAAAATGTTTTTCCCCCCTTTCCACATGTAGACAATGCAAAATGGTACCTAAACTGTGTAGCAAAACTAAAGAACAGGGGACCAGGGGGTTAGATCTATCCTGTATTGAAGTGGAGTATATTAATTTCGCACACCATGCTGGAGTCAACCATATGGTGAAAAGGGTCAACTGGTCACGGTGTATACCATGCATAAGATGTGTCATCACTACACCAACAAGCTTGTTCCAAAGTGCAAAGCTCTTCTTTATTGCATGGTCACATAAATAAAAACAATGCTTGGGGCCGTTCATAAAGCATTGCACTTCAAAACAAGTTTGTTGATGTGCTGCTTACAGATCTTGTCCTATACTGCATAGAAGGAGGCCTGACATCTCAGTTCTGAATTTGGAGCCACTTTTTTTAAATTATTTTATGCGACTATAGCAATGATTTAATTTCATATCACCTTAATTTGTTCTTCTTTGGGTTGTAGAATTTTCAGAATGTGCTGGCGAAACAACTGAAGAAGCTGATTATTGGGCTAAACCTCTTTTTCATCTCTGGCAAACCAAGGTGCAAAATTTTGCAGCTGAAAGAGAGTTTAATGAGTCTGTCTCCAAAATCAAGCCATACTGTGCTATCTGCACTCTCTTTTTGCCTTACTACAAGGTAAGAAAATGTGTACTTTATGGGTTATCTTATGATAGTAAGGGCCTGGTACCATCAGGTTGTTAGATGTGTGTTAGGGTGCCCTAACACTTTGCGAATTTCGGCCAGTTCTTGATGAACCAGGCGAAATTCTTTCGGCTGGCATCCCTTAATCAGCTGATCGAAGGTGCCGGTCGGAAAATCTTCGCACGAACAGAGCCGGCAGCCAACGAGCTTCCAGCTCTGGTAGGGTTTACAATGCAAACAGCGGGAGATTCCTCGATCAACACACATGTTGATGGAGAAATCTGCTCTATTTTTTTTAGTAAAAATAGTGCAGTGTATGGCAAGCCTTAGAATGTACACAACAGTCTACATTCTCTGCTATGGTAAATTGAATTCATCATGCAGGCACAGCAAGAGTTGGGTTTTTAGCACATACCAGTGGGCAAAGTCTGCAAAGGGGTCGTGAGATATGCTGTATGTTTATCACAGCCGGTGCAGGGATTAGAGATTACATCCATTCAACTAATGTCAAAATGCATTTGACTGATGTATGAATAAGCTGAACTAAAAAAAAATTGGTGAATATGTTCCAGAACTGACATACAGGGGAATGCTGTGCACATGCCATGCTGTGCGGTGTGCTGCATTGCTAAAACTGCAGCACACCACAAAGCATGTGGTGCCTTGGCAGCCCATTTGTAATGAATCAGGCTCCTTAATGCAACACATGTTGAAGTAATTTTAACAATATGATGTCACCTTACATAAGCTGCCAGCAGCAAATTGAGTTTCCTGCAGCTGAAATTGTTTACTGTTAGTATAAATTAGTAAAATACTGGTGATACTGCAAAATTCCTTTTTACCTATTGTTTGCACTTTAGGTTATTATTAACATTTTTCTTTTTTATTCTCCAGTCAGAGACCTATAATGATGATGTTCAGACTTATTGGGACACAGTTTCAAGTGAAATTCCTGCATTGGAGAAAAAAACGAAGCCCTTGATCCCAGAAATGTGCTTCATATACAGTGAAGACAACACAGAATATTCTCCACCAAATTCCTTTATTGATGATGATGGCAGAAGTCAGCTTATTACCTGCACAAAGTGTTGCGTACAGGTTCATGCGAGTAAGTATATATTCGGCCTGAAAAGTTTCAATAGTGCAATAGACCCTTATTGGCTTCAAGTGTTGGCCCTTTCAGTCTTGGTATCAAAACTGGTGTTCATGGATGTTAACATAGTGTCAAGGAGTTACACAAGTAGTATTTACCATTGCATTTAATCATTTTGAATGAATGTACAACTAGAATAAAAATGGATTTTTTTTGTCTCTAGTTTTTCTTAGTTATCCTGTCTTAAAGTCTTGTCTCTAAAAGTAGCACTATGTTCATAAACTACAATATCTCTTAAATGTGTATGCAATCCATTACCTTGTGATTAACCTGGATAATGCAGAGATTTGGGTATTATTTAAAAATGAAAATATTGGCTCTATTAAATTAATCTATACCTCGTCTTCGTCTGTAGGTCAAACCCCTTTGCTGCCACCGAAGTATGGCATACGTCTTCAGCAGTGCAGGCTTGTACACAGACTATAGCTGATATGAGTTTGTTTACACTTTCACAGCCGGCTGTTGGCTTTCTTATGGAAGTGATTCTAGTGATTTACAGCTGCCCGATTATTTCCACTAGGGATGCACCGATATTTAGGCACGTATTTGTACTCGTCCAATTGCTCTGATACTTAACCCGATAACCGAACTTTCGGTCCGAGGTAGATGCCCTCTGACCGGCAGTGCCGTGAGGGAGCATGGAGCCAGCTTCCCGGCCAATCAGGAAGCCTGGTGGCAGGTCATGACCTGCCTCCCGGGTTCCTGATTGGCTGGGAAGCCGGCTTCACTTGTTGCTAGGCAGACTGGCCTCCTGACCAATCAGGAAGACGGGTGGCACACCAGGCAGTCTTGCAATGTCGCAAGGGAATGTGAAGCCGGTGTTCTTTTGAAAACCGGCTTCCCAGGCAATCGGGATCCTGATAAGCCGGGCCCACGGTACCTTGGGATGCCGGTATTTGTATCGGCGAGTACGGAAAAAAAATATCGGTACTCTGAACCGATATCGAAAGACCGATATGTGTGCATCCATCATTTCCTCATGTGATAACAGGCTGCCCTTGTTTTCTGCCATCAGAAAATGTGCATTTTAGCATGTGTGCACAAAAACAAAGCAAAACGGCTCCGACTGCGATAGCGTTAAGCCATACCCTGTGACTTCGACTTCAGGGCACCTCCTTTGCATCAGGCAGATTCACGGATGAGTCTGCAACACCTCATTGTGTGACACATTTGGGAAAAGATACTAAGCTGTACTTTACATACAGGCTTAGAGGTTTTTCTTTACCTTGACACCTATCTATACCTTCTATACCTTAAAAAGTGTTTGTTTTTTTCCAATCATACAGTACAGGATACAATCTCTTTTAACCCAGGCATATTCAGGTGATTGGACCCCTGTCAAGCAGAATTGTGGGACAACCCATACAACCCCCCCCCAAGAATCCTCTTTTTTTTTTTCAAGCATCTTTATTTGGGGGACAACCTCTCTCTATTGAGATATCTTTTTTAGCTAAATCTACTTCTACAACCTATCTGAAGAGGAACACATGGCCTGTAATGGTGCTCATTCACTGGACTCTGTTTTAAGCGCTCACCCTTGGTACATCCATCCAGCTAGGTGCAGATGGCTCTACAGGTCCAGGGCCATAAAGCCCTGTCCCTGAAGACCTCCTCCATGAGGGTGGGGGTATATCCTCCCGAAGTGAGGAGTCTCTCCCCTGTGATAGATTTTCAAGAATCAAGGCAAAGTCCTCCACACAGTTCCATTGCAAGCCCTGGACTTCTGCCAGCAAAATCTGGCACCAAGCTCACCTCTCAGTGAGAGGGCATCGCCACATCTTCAAGTGGGGGGATATCTGTCAACGTTATGGGCCCCCTGGTCTCAGTTCATTTTTGGGTTATAGTCATGGTGTCCAGGAGATACAGACTGGAATGTTAGTCTTTCCTGCCTTTTATGTCTTCAAATCTTTCCTCTTCTCTGTGAATATTATGGGATCTTCATGTGCCTTGAAGCTACTACACTCTTCAAGAGTGATTGTTAAGGTTTCCTTGGAGTAACGCTTTCAGGTGTTTTACTCCAACCTGCTTAATGTTCATCCCTTCCTAGATAAGAAATTTCTCAACACCTTTCTTGGGGTACAAAAAATCCAGATGGAATCTGCCATCTTTGTGATTGCAGCTCTGCAACAAGGGGAGATCTTGACATCAATAGGAATGAAGGATGTGCAATTACATGTCCCCATCTTCCCTCAATATCAGCAGTTCCTGCGCTATGCGGTGTAAAAACAGAACTTCCAGTTTGTGACTTTTTTTCCCTGTGGCCTGCCAATTACACATATTCCCATTAGCCCGCCATTAGCCGCCAGGTTTTTTTTAACCAAAGTATTGGTTCTAGTTTTTGTGACTCTGCAGTCTCAGGGATTTCACATTGTGGAGTGTCTGGGCGATCTACTTCTGAAGGCATGCTCACCCCAGGTCCTCTCTGTCATTGTCCAACGGATGCTCTGACCCTTGGTTCTCAACTGGTGGGTCGTGACCCCGTGTTCAGTGGATCCCCGCATGCCTTCCACTTTTCTAGGTGAGAGGCTCCTCAGCCTCCCCCTGGGGCAGGAATATCAGTTTTTCACACCAAGCAGCCATTCAAAATATGCTGCCTGTTGCTGAGTGCCAGCTTGAGGTGGGGTGGGATGGGGCTGCAAGGAACCGTACAAGCAATGCATATATGGATGGAGCTCCATCACAGCACAGCAGCCCACACTGGACCCTAGGCTGAGGATCCACTCCAGTTCTTGTAAGAAAGGGAGACTGGATGGATCTTTAAAAAAAGGACAAAAATGTAAATTTTTGTGGGGAGTGTGTATGTGTGTGAGAGAATGTCTGTGAGATTGTGTCTGTGGTTGTGTGCGTCTGTCAATGTTTTTTAGGGCCCGTTTACACTAGTACAGTGCGTTAGTCGTACAGTCCCGTGCGATTAACGCACCTTACCACAAAATCGCAATTACCGTGCATTCTGGTGCGGGAGGTGTGTTGCATTGCCATTAATTTGAATGGCACTCTAAACACACCCTCCCATCCACAGTTCATTCGCCCGCACTGGAACGCGCAGTACCGCAATGTTGTACGTTCCATTGCAGGGCAACTCGGGTTACGACTTACTGACCAGGAACAAATGTGGGTCATATGGTTACACGGGTTGAGAAGAGACATCCTTTTCTGATTCTTTATAGGTGAATCTGCAACCTCAGACACCCTTTCTCCTCTTTTGTCCTGCTCTGAGGCATCCCAAAGATATTTCCCTGCACTGTTTGTTTATGCTGCAGACACTCCATTTATACCTTTTGGCCACTGCCTCTATCCATCATTTGGATAATCTTTTCATCATTCCTGTGGGATTCCACCAGGGGTGCTTAGCATCTTGTTTCACTATTACTAGATAAATTAAGCAAATGATAACTAAAGCTTATGCTTTAAAGGACAGGATTCCTCCCTTTCATTTTTAGGCTCACTGAACTAAGTTTATCAGTTGCTCTTGGGCCTTTCAGGGAAATATTATGAATGGATTGTAGTGTACACACAGGCCATTTATTGCACAAAGAATGTAAAATGAGGACATGAGATAAATTTCATGTACTTATTTTACACTATGCTTATTTAAATAATGGGATTTGTTGCCAAAACAAATTCATTCATTGTTGCAGAGCTGGACAGAAGAAACATTTGCCTTTGCCAGCTTAACAAATTCCAGGACAGGAGGGGGGCAGTGGTCATACGTAAATCACAAGGCCATTGTTTTAAAAGATAACTTTGGCTTTAGTTCTCTTTTGAGTCACACGAGCACATTTCCTGTGACCCAAACTCAGCATATAGCAGCCAGTATGCTGACAGCACATTGCCGCACAGAGCACGGACACTTAGCTGTGTCCGCCCCTTCCCCTGTCTATGCCTCTGGAGTAACAGAGAGGTTAGGAAATAACTGTGGGGGGAGCGGTGACTGACAGTGACCACTATTTGCAGAGACGGCTGTGAGCGGAGTAAATTTTTCTCTGCTAATACTTCTCCTTTTAAAGTGATGAGTGCGTGGACTCACCTAAATGATAAGTCCAGTTCATGAAGTGATCAGGATTTTTTTTAAAGAGAACTATGGCCCAACCTTATTTGTCAATAGTGCTCTTTAGGGTCTCAGGAGGACATTCACTATGTCCTCCTGTGACCCACAACTCGGCATATAGTGGGCTATTGCACGCTATATGCTTACAGCACTGTGGGGAATGACCCCGACAATATTGTTGAGATTCACCCCGCCACCTGATTGACAGCTGGCTCTGCCTCTTTAGAGGCAGAGCCAGCTGTAACTGCCCCCCTCTCCCGTTCATCCTCCAGTCAGTGCTGGAAGAACGGGAACTCTGCGATCAGTGGTATGTGATCGCTCAGTTCTTGATCTATAGAGCTGACGTCGGCTCTAATTATGAGGGTGAGTGTATTTCACTCTCCCCATAATTCTCCTTTAAAGCTTACCCGCTAATGCTGGAAATTGCTTTGAATTGCTTTTTTTTTCCTCTAATATCTCCTTATGAAATCAGATGGCAAATGCACTGAAAGTTTGCTGAAGGTAACAATACTTTTTGTGACAAGTCAAGGTTTTGTAAAAATTCTACAGTAGTCGATGCATTAAGCTAGATCTACTCTTTCTGCTGTGTTAACAGTTGTATGTGCAGCATTGTAGTAATACTGCCCCGGACAAACTGTAATGCCTATACATGATTAATAATGTTGGGAGACACAACCATTATGAAGTACGTATGTGGCAGAAAGATAAAACTGTCTACTGTGTCTTACTTTAGTAAGTAGTCTGTGCTATCGCATATGACCTAATAATAGAGGTTTTACATGCAGTATTTTACCATACAACATGTACAATATAGTTGTCATTATATTCTACTAGTGTATTGTCTTACTGGGGAAAACTTTAGGAGTCTAAATACTAGATATTTGTCTGAAATGTCAAGGACACTTTGTCTTGGTTATTTTCCCCTTAAGCCTGTCGTGTTCTTGCTCCATACACCGCTGAGTTTCTTGAAGATGCAGAGACCAAAAGGGGCAGAATTCATTAATTAACTGAGTTCTCTCATTACAGGTTGTTATGGTGTTCCTTCCCATGAAATTCATGATGGATGGATGTGTTCTCGATGTAGAATTGGAGTTTGGACAGCAGTAAGTTGCATCATTTATTTTTAGACTCCAAGCATGACAGAATAGCATGAAAGAAGCGATATTCAACAGCCAGGAACTGACTACAAGCCTGCTATTATTAAAGAGAGAATCTCCCCAGTAACCACCAAATGACTATGCAAATCAGTAAGATTTATCACATAATAAGCTGCAGCAATGTAATGTGGACATCTCTGTGAACAACACAAATTTGTGTAATCTAGTATCACAGTGTATCCGTTTTATGAATTACATACAGACTTCATATGAACA